AGCATCACACAATGTTCCTAGATTATTTAACTATTGAAAGAGGATTTTTAAAGCTATATTTAATTTTGTCCTCTGTGTAGCATATCACTAGAGATTAACAAACTGTTAATGACATAATTCATTTTAAAAACCTTTAAATTTAGGATTCCTGTCTTCCTGTTTAGGTTGGGAGAAATACACTATGTACCATAATGTATTTCTTGGAATAGGTATATTAAACTTTAATTGCAGTGTCTTGCAAATGTAAAACTTGCTGATGTAGTTACTGTTTTTTAATAGATCATTGACCCGTCAATCAGACTCTGACCATTTCAGAGATAAAAAGCTGGGCTTTCATTGGCTATTATGAATAGAGCACCTTTCTGCAAATTAAGAAATGGTGTAATAATTAACAGGTATAATGGATATGTGCATTCAGGTTTCAGTTATATCTTTATGAGCTTTAGCTCCTGTTATCTTTGGTGTAGTTAACCCCCTGTCTACCCACAGATAATTTAACTAAAGTGTAAAAATGGATTTGTTTTGTGGCAGTGGCATTTTGCTAATGAGATAGGCTTTTGCTCCTTTTTTTTAAGATCTGTAATAAGAGCTGTCCTTTTAGACTTTCTTTAAAACAAGGCATGGAACTTCACTCACAAAGGTCATTAAATAAGTAATAATACTGTTCTAAAGAAGGATAGAAAAGAGTCTTTAAACAATTTTGCATACAGACAATTTACCCAACTTGATTTTTTTTTAAGTCTGATTTACAGATTTAAATGGTTATAAGTACTGATTATTCCTGGTACTGGAGTTTGGTATCTTTCACCTAAAAAGTTGCTCAGAAATTGCCAAAGCACATAATTCAATAGGTGAACCACGAAGTAGGCAGAGGTAGCTTACCATTCCTAAACTCTAAATAACTTAAATAAAAAAAAATAGATTTTGAAAATATAAATGATATTTTAGTTGCAAAAATTCATTAACTAACATCAAGATTCAGTTGCTTTGTTGTAATATACTTGCACTGCAAAATATGAATCAGGAAAGAAAATCCTAAGTTTAGAGAAGTTATGGAACTGGAAAGTTAAGGAAAACTTTTTGAATTTATGTATAACTTTTATTAATCTTTAAATATGACAAAAAACCAAAAGAGAAGTAATTTTTAAATGAGAGGCTGATAAAATACTAAATAACTGGAAGTTTACCAAGGTGTAGAAGTTATTTTTGCTTTGGAAATTGTTTTCCTATTAATGTATTGTTGGCATCTTTCAGGTGTGTTCCTGTATACCAGATATTTATTCAGAACACATTTGTATAGAGGCTCACATCTTTAGTAAACTCATTTTTGTACTGGAAGTTGGCATAGCCATCATCCTATTCTAAATTCAATTTAATCTATTTCAGGGAAACTCAGTTGCTTAATGACATCAATTGTCCCTGTATATATACAGTAGTAGATCTTGGCAGTGTTCAGTTTTTGTCATAAGTAGCTCACAGATTTTTGTCATTGATGGGGTTTTAGTACTTTGGTAAATAAATCGCCGTTTATTACTCATATGTTTGTCATGTCAATGCTACCTAGGTGTCAGGTGTGCGTATAAAAGCAAATACTCAGGTACTTGTCTAAAAAAAAAAAGTATTTTCAAAGTACTTCTGCATATTAGTCACAGATTTTAATGTGTATTTAGAAATGTAGATGTAAAAAGGTGAGTTATTCTGGAAGAAAACACAGAAATTTTTCAGTTATATTTGGCAGTGTCATGCCTGCTGTAACTTGAGTCCAAAACACTGCAGTTGCAAGAGGAATTGGCTTTTTTTAGAGTATACTGTGAGACTGTGCCAAGATCTTCCAGGTCCACAAAATTAAATCCTTAAGGAAAAATGTGGAAGGGGCACAGTAGTCTTCTTCTTTCCTACATGTAATATCTCAATACATGTCCAAGTAGGTAGGTTACCTTCACAGACTCTGTGCAGAGTTTGTATATATATACTGAGAAGAAAGTTTGGGACTATTGGGATGCATTTAGGTTTACATTTTGTTTTTTTCATAGATTAGTAAAGCTCTCCATTAAAAATAATATAGTAGTGCTTGGGAATTAAAAAAAGCTAGTTTCTGTGGTTTTAATATGGAAAATAGATAGAATTGCAAACAAAAAAGGCCATGCTTGAATATGATTCTTCAGTGATATTTTTCTTTAAATTGTTAACTGATTAATGTATTGTTCAACCCTGATTATAGGAAGAATACATTTGAAGTATGAAACAGGATATCTCTGGCAGTAAAGTGAAATTAAAACTGCATTTCTAGGATCTTGCACTTACTTCTATACCAAACTTCAAGTATTGAAAAGGTATGTTTAGCCTATGAAATAAAAGTTATCTAAAAGCTTTCCTTTGTTACTCCTTTCTGGTTTTAAGCTATAAAGTGTCAAAAATTGCTCTAGTACAGTATGTGAAGCCCTGCTTATATTTCTATGAAGGTAGTATAGGACACCTGAATTTTTATAATTTTAATTTTGGGTACTTTACGCTATGGCATCTTAAGCAGCAACTTGTCTATGAATACAAGACACAGTATGAATACAGTCCCTCTGAAAGGTCTTGGAACTCCAGGTTGTAAACTGGCGTCTAAACATAATGGTTTAATGATCTCATCTATTTCGCAACCGAATTGCACTTCTAGTGTCCTCAGAACTCATCAAGAGCTGAAGTATTCAATGGGCTCATTTACAGTGTAGTTGAATCTGGTTTTCCTAAGAAGAGAACTTAGAACTCTGTTATGAGCTTACTCTGAGGGTATAGAAGGTAGGTAAGCAAATAATTTTGTCCTGACTGTATTTTAAATTAAGGCTAAATTAAATTTCTGTCTCCCTGAAACTTGATGCACAAATGCTTCAAAATTTTTGCAGAGTTAGGAAAAGCCTCTGAAATCTATTCCAGGTTAAAGACATGTAAGACTTCAATAAGATGCTATTTTATACCTGTGACAGGTTGGTATTCAGCACTTGTAGAAGAAGGTAAAGATTGAAGTGAAAGATCTGTTCACTGTACCGAAGCCCAGTTTGGAAATGACTGATAGTTTGATTAGTCTTTGCATGATATGCAAGTTCTTTAGAAATGGCACAGATTTGTGTCAGAATTCTGCTGTTCAACCTCTGTTGTATTATCTATGTGGAAGAAGTTTTTTGTAATTCATTTGAACCTTTTATTCACTTGAACCTCCTTATTTAGAGCCATTTCTATTGTTATACTATACAGTACCTAATTAAGAAAGCTACCTATCTGTAATGGCTGTAACCAAGGTATTAACAGATGAAAAAGCTAAAAATAGCCTTACACCTTTATGAAAAGGAAGAAATTATTTAATCTCATCAGTTAGGTTACACTTCTGAAGTTCATTTGAAGTCATGGTAATGTTTTCCGTTTGTCACAGGGGATCTGTTACTTAAGTTGTTTTTACATCGTGTATTGGGCAGCCTTTTATCTACAAAACTTATTTTTAACATCACTTTAGGGAGTCAAACTCACTATCACCTTGCTTTATCTTTCCCTTCTTGCCTGATCCATTATTTTAGTGTTGAACCGTAAATTCTGTCTTTTTAGTTATTTGTGTATTACCATTCTTTAATTACATAACTTAACTTTTACAAGTATGGGAATTGCCCTTTTAAATTTGTGTTCTTACAAGCCTAAACTTAAATGTACAACTGCAGAAGTTTTGATACTTCAATCTTTTAAGTATTAGTCATTTTGTAATAAGCATAAAACTGAATGATACCAGTTACTGTGTTTCGTAGCTTCTTTGTATTATGACATAATATATCTAATTTTAGTGGTTGCATATTGTTTTTTCCAGTTACACCTGTAGTATATCCAGGATTGGTGTTCCAGGATGTTTATAGTTTTTCCATGTTACCATGAGCTTTATGAATGAGCAGATTTATTGACCCCTAGTGGGGTTTTAAGCAAATGGCTGTTAATTTAATAAGTGCCATATGAAAAAATGTAAATATTTTTTCAATACTGCATTTGTTTCAATGCACTTTTTCTTCTGTTTGCAGATGGATTAGCTCCCGAATTTCGTTTCTACCGAATGTTCCTACCTCTGCAGAATTGCTTATTGCACCAACTTCTGTTAACAACATTCCCAAAACATGTAGCTCAGTGTGTGCATTTTAATGAACGCTTGTAGCTGTAGCTGAGTATTTTAAAAATACAGCATAGCATAAATTAAAAGTAAAGGGTCTTTTGTGCTGTGTAAGGTGGGCTTATTTTTAATAAGCTAGAAAAAGCTAGTAACTTCTTGGGTAGTATGATACTACATAAATGAATTAAAGCTAATTCTAAATCATCTGCTCAAGTATAACTGACTTCTTATTGCTTATTAAATACTTATAATTTATCAGTAATATCCTGAAACCTTCAATTTCATAAAATAATCACTTAATACAGTATTTTCATGCTAAACCAGCATGTAAAATATTACTTTTAAACTAATTTTAAATAGCTCTAGGATTTTTAATAATTTAGTTGAAGTTTTAATTTTCTGGGAGGTGAAATTATCTCCTAGACATACTGTTGAAGTTTCCTATAGGCATTTATTTCACATGAATTAAAATGAAGCACTGAATAGTGAGTTCACATTTGGCTATTTAATTAGCAATAATAAATGAAGATAAGTCTGTTCAATAATTAAACTGTAATTGAACTTCACTACAATTCTGCATCTGCTACATGTTTCCAAATATCAGAAATTAAGTTCTACTCTAAATTTATTTTTCTATGCAAGTATGACACAATAAAGAACTTAATTTTGTTTTTATTTTATGCATTTAATCTTATGGGCTTTAAGTAGTAAAGTGGTGTTTTTACCAGTTAAATTATGAAATACTCCCTTGAATTTTAGGCATTTTTAAATTGTTAAGAAAAGGCCAAATACAATTTTTGGCATTTATCAATATTTAGTGTTTATTGCATAAACCATATTGTTTAAAGTCAAACTTACACAGCGATCAAAAATGTCAAAAAGACCTCAAATCCATATTTTTGTGGGAGCACCCAGCATTCCAAGCCCGCTGGAGGTGCCAGAGCAAAGTAGTTCAGCACCTGCTGATGAAAAATGGAGCGAACTCCACTGTTTATGTGTTATACATAATCTTTTTTCTGAAAAAGCCGAAGGTGCTGACAATGTAGTGTTTCAGGCAGAAAGCTCTATAGTCGCAGCAGTTCCTACAAGTGATGACAGCTCTCAGCAGTGTAAAGAGGGGAGATTAACAGTAGCAAAAGAATATTTGACATCTCTTGTACCTGTGGCAGTAACTTGTACCAGCACACTTAAAAAGACTGAAAGTTTAATTTATTCTGATTGTCAAATATGTGAAGATAGATGCACACATGCAACTGCAAATGAGGCTGCAGATCAGCACCTTCCTCAAAAATTTGGAAAATCAGATAGGCAGGATAAACAATGGCATGGCGGCTGTTCAAACTTCACTGAAAGAAAAGCCGGTCATTTAGACGTTAACAGCTTTGACATTTCTGATTTGGTTGCCAGTACTAAGCAGATTAGCATACATCTAAGGTCTATGGAACAAGGTGCTCAATCGGATCGAAGTGATCAACATGAACATCTAAGTCAATATTTGGATATGTTTTTCCCCTCAAATCAAGAATCAAAACCAAAAGGAGAACCAGGTGATTATTCAGACCTTGCAGTGTCAACTGATACTGAATTTCGTAGTATAATGACTTCAAGTCAGATGGCTGTTTTTGCACAGGATCAGAGTGAGCTGCAAAAAACAATCATAAAACTATCGGAAACAGAAGGAGGCAAGAAACCTGACGAAAGGCAATATGATCCCTTCCAATTTGATTCTGCTGTTGGAATAGGTCTTAATGTTACTGAAAATGAATACAAGGAAGAGTATACAAATTCCCTTGAACTTTTCAATTCTGAGGGTGATGGGAAAAGTGTTTGCTTTGAAGCTACAAAACGAGAAGGAAGGGCTCAGGAAAATACAGAGAAATCCCAAGCACTAATCCATATTGAACCATTGAGCTCAGGAATACTGTGCTCTCAAGTAGACAGTTCTCATAAGGGCTCTTCCAAAAGAGCCCGCAAGTGCGAAGATTCCTTTCATATTTTTCACTCAGTGTTTAAAAGACAGCTGAAATCAAAGAGAGCTAAACTCAGTTCTTCTCCAGCTGGTCCTGGGATGAGAATGGATCAAGAGAGGATGACAGATCACAAGAAGCTTCAAAGGAAACTCTCTCTGCTTAAGAATTGCTGCTGCAAAAATCAAAAGTACAATGTTTTGGTCACAATAGTACACCCTTGTCATATCAAAGAAATACAGGTGAAGACTAGACCAAAATCTTCATGTAAAGTTCCTGTAGCAACAATTGTAGTTATTGACCAGTCAGAAATTGAGAGAAAGGTGGTGCTGTGGCGTGGTGCTGCATTTTGGTCACTCACTGTGTTTCCTGGGGATGTTGTACTGCTTACAGGTGAGAATTCCTTTGTTTGTCTTGTTAAAATGTGGTTCTTTAAAATACCTGTTTAAAGTAGAACAATATGCAACCAGTAATTTGGAACTATGGCTAAGCATTTGTAAGTATCTTTCTTGCATCACTTGCATTACTCAACATCACTTTGAATTTTCAGTCATCCTGCTGGCAGAACATCGACTGTCCTATTGAAGTTTGCCCATCCCTTATGCAGTCTTTGGTCTAAGGCACAGCAGTGCCTTAGGTAGTCAGCTGTATTCTGTTTTAAAACAGCTGTTCCCAAAAAGTAAAAATGCTACTTCAAACCAGATGTACTAGTTACTTGATTTATAGACTTTTTTGTAATTCTCTGCTGTTGGACTAGCAGATGGACCAGAAAATTGTGATGTTATGTTCAGTCTCAGGATGAGAAATACTTTTCCTCCTGGGAGGGACTTTGCAGCTTAGCACTAGCATCTTCAGATGGATTGTGTTGTGAATTAGTAACTGACATAGACTGCAGAAATATAAACTGCTGTTTGAAGTTCGCCTTCTTCATAACATGTCAGCTCATAAAGAAATTCTTCCTGATAAATCCTTTGTACTCTTTAATACTTAATAGGAGCAAAATGCTCCCTCTTTAAGAGAACACATGTCTTGTAAGAGAATGCGGTACTATAAAAATGATATTGCATCTAATTTAGGGCTGGAGTTGACCAGAACTTCATAGTGATCTGGCCATTTAGGTTTTGCAATATGCAAAAAATCACACAATATGAAATTGTTCAAATACTTCTACAGTTTAAGATGCCTATTTCTCTTTAAGACTTCCAAGTGCTTATAGGTAGCTATTTTAGAAGTTGAAGATAAGCTGGGGTTTTTCTTTTCTTCTTGGACATTATTATCTCAAAATACATCATAAGTGTTTCTGGGTAAGCCTAGTACTTTACTACTGATTCTGAAATGTTGCACTATAATAATTTACCCAATACAATCACCCATTTCACTTATACATTACCAGCTATGAGGTTATTGAATATTTTATGAAGTATTACATCAAACTATTGAGAAAATTTGATTAACTCATTGTAAAGGGCGTTGGTAGGTTTAAAAAAAAAAAGTTACTTTGTTTCCAAGTGATCTTTCAAACTGTCTTTCATGCCTATATTGTGATGGTTCTATAGTCAAGAAAAGTATGATACACTTCAATACTGGTGATACATGAGTTGATAACGTGTTTTTTTTCTTGCAGATATAATAATGTATGAGAATCTTTGGTGTGGAGAAATCATGCTACAATCTACATTTACCAGTCAGTTACTGAATCTAGGGAACTGCTCAGCTCTCAATCCGGAAGAATGTAAGATTATAGTGCATAAGTTTCCACAAAAATCATTGTAAAATAGCTATTTAAGGTACTTTTTGTTGGCAATGCCTCATACACAGGATAAAATGGAAACGTGAGCAACTGAGAGGTACAAAATACTATAGGAAAGTATGATGGGAACACCTGTGGACATGATGACATCAGATAAGCACTTGGAGTTTATGGTACAGTTGAGTGGTTACCATTCAAAATTCTGAAAAACTGAATTCTTTGAGCTTAGTTTAAGAAACAGCAGTTATCCCAGGACTCAACCGTAAGATGTCTGAGATTTCATGAGGATTAAACTTTTTGCAAAAATTTTAAAGGCTTAAAGAGTAAGTAGGTACATTCAAGTAAAGTAATTCATTGCAGGTTATTAAGCACAAAGTCTTTAAAGATACCTGAACCGTGGAGGGTTGGAGACTAAGGGGAAAATGCAGTGTAAGTATCACCATGAACTTACATTGTTCTTAGTGTCTTCCTGATGTCCATTATTGCCAGCCATTTAAGGCAGGTTCTGGGGTAAATAATTAAGAACAGCTATTCTTTTTGCCAAGCTATGACAGAAGATTTATTTCCTATTTTTGTTGTAATTTGAAATATTGTGCTTAGCTTAACTTTGAGATGTTATCAAGAGGAGGCAGATGAAGTAGAGGAGACAGATCAAGTACAGTTTAATTTTGGATCAAGTGTTACACATCTCAAGAATTTCTTGCCTTAGAATTATTGTCAAACAGTTTTGGTTTTATTGGTGTAAATATGTAACAACAGATAATCCTTTTTACTTCTAAGCTTAAAAAAAAAGGGTGTCCCTTTAACTTTGTTTTTTCACATAAGTTTATCCTATAGTGGATGGTGGTGTTCTCCATGGTTTATTGGCCTACGTATCATCAGAATTTCCGCACTTTGGAGACATTCCTCGAATACAAGTTCAGAGACTGGATAGTGTTCAGTATGTGCAGCTAGATCAGCTCCAGCCAAATACATTGGTTCATTCAATCTTGAAAATTGTCAACATTGCCATATTAACAGGTAAGTTCAGGCACTAGACTTCAACTTCCAGAACTTCAACAACAGATGAAACTTAAATAGTAATTTTGCAAGGCAATTCTGGTTGTCTTCTATTCCATACGCCAGTGTTTTATGTAGAATTCACAAGTCAAACCTTCATAATGGTCCACTCATGAGAGGCACATTGGTTAGAGAAGTGGAATTAGAGACAGGAAGGAAATAGTGACTGTTGTCAGCTGCTGAAAGAAGGTTATTACACACTAGTGTGCTGATCGATAGCATATGCCTCTGTGGGAGATGCTTGCAGGCAGTGAGCACTGATAAGCAGTGTTCCTACTCTCTGAGGGATTGCTGTTTTTTCACTAAGGAATGAGCACTCACCACAGACTGCAGTTACTAATGTATTGACTTGTCAGTGAGATGGCTTGAGCATCTCCACAACTCCAAATAGTGTGGTACCTGAGCTTCAATGAGATGGAGGATTGAAAAGAAATGCAGGTATAAAGTATAGTGTTTGGGGGCTCAAAATCCTTTTTAGGGAAGATAAGCGTGTATAGTAGGAGTGCTGAAAAGAAGGAATACTGCAGTTACAGTGGAGGAACATAAATGTTTAATGGCTCTTGAAATTCGAGAGGTACATTCTTGCTGTAGATCACTGCTTGAGAAGAGGGGTGGCTTATGAAAATGTCATGTGGAACAGTGTCAAGCTTTACTAATTCAAAGCTCACCCTCCAACTACCTTCCATGTAAGCATCCTGTCATTAAAGGAAAATGTGATTGCACTATAAATTGTGTGTTTTTCAGAATGAAATAAGGTGTTGATTATTTTAATTGACTGGTTTAGGATTTGCTTGCCTTCCTAACTTTATAATGGAACTGTGTTGCTCTTTTCTAATGTTTTATTTGGAACATTTCTTGTTTATTTCTTTCTTTTTTTTCCGACTTTGAATAGATTTATAAAGCTAAGCATTCCTGTTTTCTTAAATACATGTAATATTTCTTTATAATAATCCTTACTTGTGTGCCTTTTTGATTTTCAACACTGGAAAATGCACAGTGTAAAACTACTAAGATGTCTTACTGTGATATTCCTATTTCTTCTGCATAAGCATAACAGAACTACCTTATTAATATAATTTGTTTTGGAAATCTGAGTTTCCTGTATATTTTTATTGTAAAGACGCATCTCCCCCAAAGAATCACGGTTGATGTACTGATTTTCTGAGTTTATTCTTCTGTAATACATTCGTTTTCTTTTAATAGTGAACATAGTTATTTCAGGATTCCTTTTGCTGAAGCAATTTTTCCATGTTGAAGTTGATAATTTTTTCAATTTCTTCATAATCAGACCTTAAGCTGCTTTCTAGCATCTTCTCCACCATCCGAAATGGACAAAACCAAGTTATCTTGGGGCATTCTCAGTATTTCATGTAGTGCCTTGCCTTGTTTTTTTAACATGCTTTGAGCAGTAAAGACTGCTGTTTATTCATTATAAATTAAAAATTTTGAAGATAGAAATCTTCATAATTTGTTATTGTGTGTAAATCTCAGAACTGTTAGGTTCTTAAAGCACGAGATCTGGTTTAAAAAATATTTGTTTATGAAAAATATTCTAGTTTTAGTGTGGAACTGAAACTTACAAGCAGTATCCTGGGTAAGAGGGCTGTAGAGATCCTAATTGTTTCAATTTATATATACTGTTACTAATCCTCCTAGTGTGCTTGTACATGGCTATGGTTTTCTTTTATGTGAAAACTTCTAGAGAAATGTTTCTTTTAATGTATTCCACAGAAGTTACAAGAACTTTAACGGCCCATTATGACAGCGTGTTGTTGAGAGATTGAGTACAATTTCTTTCCACTTATACCAGTCAGGATGAGTGGGAGCTGAAAGATGCGCAGGTACCTGCTGCTTCAAAGGGAGGTGTCCAGTTGCTGAGTTTTTAGGTGGATAAAGATAAACTCATATACTTTATGTGCTTGTTCAAACAAGATTCATGTTGCTGAAGAAATTAGATTGCTTTTATTCTGTCCAGAAGAAATTGTAGATATATTCTTGTTTGCTTATAATTGTACCATAAAATATGATAGCAGTATGATTTCATCTTAATATTGGGGCATATGGGTTTTGTGTGTTTATATGCTTTTACTGTAGAAGTCATATAATGTCAAACTCTTTCAGAATCTGTGTATAGCTACAGAGGTGGTAACCAAAGAAAAGTTATTCTAACAGTAGAACAGAGCAGAGATCAACACTATAGGATGGTGCTGTGGGGAGCAGGGGCTGCCTGGTGTCCTCAGCTTCAAAGGAAAAAAGGTAAAGTCCTCGTATCTATAGGTGGCTGTAAAAGGATTTTTGTGATACTATTAATATCTTTAAAATGCTCAGCTGGTAATATTTTTCCATTCAAACTTTAAATACTCCCATTAGAAGGGGAACATATTTGATACCAGTTTTAACATGTCTCCTCTGTTTAGAAGCAGTGCCATCAGCAACAGAATTTGAATGCACTCTCTTCAGAAGACTGAGAAAAGCATGAGTATTTAGAAACTTGAATCTAAACACAAGATGCACTGGTGCCTAATTGTGTAACTAAAAGAAACCTGAGTGTTAACTATGTTACCAGTCTTCCTTATTGTTGTCTGATTTAGCATGAGTTACTGTTCTTTTTCTACTTCTGGTTTTCATTCTCTGCTTTCCACCTTACTATAGTGTCAGGCTTTATATCCTAATGGTCTTGCTATCAAGTCTAGCTGTAACTGACTAAAATAATCTCTTGCAAGAATTACATAGCCCATGTTTTACAAGTGACTACTACTTAATTTTGTTTTATTCCTGGCCTTGTTTTTTTAAAATAAGTGAAACTAGGTTTTTGTTGATAACTTAAGAGTTTGTATTTCTGATCAATGGATATGCTTAGAAAGTAAAAACAACATTGCTTGAAGCTCTGAATATGTCTACCTAAAAAGACAGATTTTGTATAGCACAAAATAAAACCCAGAAAGGTTAAATGACCTCATAGTGAATCTTTACCGATTAAATGTAGCCACTCTGAATTCTGCCTGTTCCCCTTCAATTTATGAGTAATCTCCACTCCTAGAAATCATTTAACTGCAAGACCCACCTCTTAAACTACTTGAAGACGATGGTCCAATTTAAGCATTAACCAATTAACTTTACTACATAATACCTGCATGGCTCTTATTTTTGTGCATACTTCAGTGTGAGCAGGTATATACTGTTTGCTAGATGCTTAGAAATCTTATAGAACTTAGAATGCTAGAATATTACACTTTTCAAAATAGATAATTTAAATTTTTTTTGTAGCTGCTAAAAGAAGGTACCAAAGAGAATTTCTAAGACACAATAGTATATCATTCTCTGATACTTAAAGCAGAAGAGTATAAGATGTAGATATTAAGTATTTGTATTTGATGTAAATCTTGTGTCTTCTCTCCAGCTAGTGTTCTGTGCATCTAGAAAGTTGACATTTTAATGATAAAAGGATTATCTGGAATTGAAGAGTGATTTCTCAACTGTTCAGATACTTAATCACAGACAAACTGTGAACGTTTGATCGCAGTAAGATAGCCAAAAAGATAAATTCACATGATGCTAAAGCATATACAACACAACAGCTAAATAGTGTGAGTGCGTAGAAGAGCATAGGGAAGAGCACAATGTCCATCCTTGCTAGGAGTCATAGATCAGCCATGGCATGTGTTTACTGATTAGAAACTTCATAGTCTTCTAGGGAAAGGTATGGAGACTTGTAATTTTTAAACTGTCTATATACTGCATAAGACTATATAGTTTGAGCATCTACAAATTGTTGCCAGTAAAAGTTAAATTTATTTCTCATCTCTTGCTAAAAGTCAGTCCAAGCTTCCAGTATGCAGTCACCAGACGTTCAATTAATGTTTTATGCTCATCTAGTTTAGATTACCAAAAAAAGAAAGATTTATTTAATTAAATACATTTCTGTAAACTTGACTACTTATAGTTTACTCATGTTTTGTGATCAGTTTTCTAATCAACGGGAATGTTGAAGATCTGAATAACAGGTTAAATTCAAGTATCAATCAAATCTTGTACCCTAGTTAAACTATGTCTTCTACTTCCATGTATCCACTCTTGCCAAGTGCCTGTTTGCTTCCTCCTGTTTAGATTTTCCCTCATTGTTGCTCTAGTGTTACTGTTGCTTTGGACTGGAGCACAGTCAGTTTTGGGGGTCTGCAAGATCTCTTTTCAGACATGAAACAAGACTGATGTTCATAGCAGAAGGCTTTTTTGGAGTATTTTATTGTAAAACACTGCATCTGACAGCAGATTTTTCAGAACCTTGCAATTTTAGCAATTTGCCACTGAAAAGCAGACTAATCCAAAATAAGGAAATACTGAAACATGCTAATAAAATGCTTATACAAACAGTTGAATACATTAAAAAAAAAACCCAAACTGTATTTTTCTCATTTTATTTCCAAAAAAAGATTATTTTGGCTGCAACTTTCAACTTGAGCAAACACAGGGAAAAAAAAACAGCTTGAAAAATTAGACTTGATTAGCAGGTAAATACTGGATCTTTATAACAAAGTGAAGGACAACTCAATATATTACTCTTCTGTAATCTCTATTTTTAAAGTATTTTTCTTTGTTACAGAGTCAATTGGAAGATAAAAAATGAATTAGTATTTTTAAATTGGAGCATTATGGAGATAAAAGATTAAAAAAAACAGGACGTATTAAAGATGGAAGTTGATTAATGACATGAAGAGTTTTTACTTCTAGACATTGCCAACTTTTCCATATTAGAGCTGACAAGAAATTTCGGAGCTGGTTTCCTTTTCAAAAAGTTGAGTTGTCTTGAAAGCTGAATTTAGTACAAGTGAAATGAAAGCATCATTCTGTTATGGGAGGACTCATGCAAAGTGTATAGGCAAAGGAAATGAAAAACCCTGCATGTCATCAGGCTTGAAATAAAGTTGCCAGAGCTGACCATATGAGAATGTCTTGCTGATTTGTTTCTTAATCTTGTAAGTAACTTTGGTTTTCTATAAAATAACCAAGGTATAGAAAGTAAACTCTTCTGTTTGCTTTTATGTTCTGTAGATCACATATGGGACTTTAAATACCTTCTGGTCCAACATAGTTCTGTCTCGGGTGACTTTGAACTGCACACAACTCCATGGTCACTCTGTGAGTGCTTGTTTGATGATGACAAAAGGGCAATTGAATTTAAAGAAAAGTTTCAGAATAGCAAAACATTACTCACAACAAAGCTCTCGGCACATTTGGAAGAAAAATGCTCAGGTAAAGTTATCTGTAGCTCTGTAATGTCTGTTGTGCAGTGCATAACTAAGCAAAATACATGCTCTGTTGATCAAATAAAATGCCTTTTTTTTTTTCTTTTCTTAAAGTTAGTTCAGTTCAGGGAGTACGAATTTATTCTGGAGGCTACTGCTCAGTACCCATCCAAATTGTGAATGTAGCCTTCATTCATTGAGCCCAAAAATGACTTAGGTGTGCTATGTGGTACCATAAAAGTTAGCTTTGGAACACAGGGAGAAATGCTGCCTTTTGTTGTCCATGCCAACCAGTCTTGTAATGATGTGATTAATCGCTGAAAGTTTATCAAGTAGTTTTTCTCCAAAACTAGAATTCTCTAAAGCAAGAGCAAAATAGCTACTGCTATTGAAAACTTCTTCCAAAAGAACAAAAAATACATTTTACACAGTCACTCCCTCTCAGATAAACCTGGAAGACTACTAAGGTTGGTGTTAAACATTAAGAGGTAACTCAATAAAGTTGGTATTGAAGCATTTAACTCTAGTTTATGTATCAATAGTGGAAAGCTAAGTTGTTAAAGCTATACTTCTCAGTGTCTGAATTAGCCTGGAAGAAAAGCAGTTGGAAATTATTTGCACAATTCTAATCTCTTGGTCTCTTATTCAGGCTCTTCTATATTGGCATCTACCATATTAGTACCTAAAAATGGAGTACTTTTGTACATTTTGAAATAATACTTAACCACAATGTTTTTTCACTGCATAAATTATCTCTAAAACTATAAGCATGTGCTACTAAAGGAAAAAAGTCATAAAGTTTTATTGATTTTGGGTTTGAATCAGCTGTAACCCCTGATTTTGCTTTTGGTTATAAATAAAACAATGCTGATTTCATTGAAATTGTTGTTTTTGCAGGAGTGGTTCAGGTGAAAGCCCGTATCTTAGAACTGAAGTTTACCATTTCAACTGGTCAGTACAAGCAACTCATCTTCCGTGCTGACACTTCACTGGAGTGTGTTTTGGCTTCCCTGCCTATGATGACGTATTCAGGTTGTGCTAAATGTGGTTTGGAACTACAGGCAGATGAGAACATGATCTACAAGCAATGTATTAGATGTTTGCCATACAACAAAGTAAAAACATTCTACAGGTAAACAATATAAAACTAAAATAATGTGTACTACTAGGGAAGTAAACTACAACTTTCTTCATTTTAAGTTCTCCCATATACAAAATTCTATATTTAAGGTGTGGTTAGCAATTCCTGTTTTTTCTGGTGAATTTTCAAGGAGCTGTTCTTGAATTGCTGTATTACATTGCCATTATCGTAGGTAATATTCTTTACGTGTAACTTTTAAATTTCTTTGAACACTACATCATACAGTAACAAGGTTTACCCAGTACTGTATCAATAAGCAAAGAGGGAATGGAAGCTTGAGGACCAAAGGAAAACATCTTGAGTGTCTGACTTCAACCTGACTTTGACATTGTGTGAACACACAACCATCTTTTGAACTGATTAATCAATTTTAGCCTTGCAGAAATAATGCTAACAAATGTTTTCAATGAACATTCTCATAGTGAGCAGACATCTAATTTATCAGCAGATGGCACTGTGAGACAAGAATTATATGCACATTTACTTAGAGAACATAAACTGAACAGATCCAGCTGATGTAGGAACAACATCCTTAACTAATTGTTCAATTATTAAATTTATCTTGGGCTTTTGAAAGGTAAGTATCATAGCAACTTTAAAGACATGTAGGTAGAGAAGGTTGAGACAATCATAGACATAATAGAATTCTAGAATATGTAAATTTTCTACTAAAATTCTTTCTAAAATTATTCATAAACTATTTCATAGTGAGTTTAATGAATCACTGCATTATCAATAGTTTCTCACTTGGCTTTGATTTAAATACTAGAATCCTGTTTGTCTAACAAGGTAGTGACTTAGTCTTTTTCCTCTATGCAAAGTAGTCTCACATCTTTAAATTGGTATGCTATTTTCCTGTGAGGGAGGATTAAGTGCAACGAGTGTTTTCTTAACTGAAAAGGTTCCCCTCCTCTTTCATAAGATTGAACTCTCATGTAGTCCTGAAGGACCTCAATTTACTCTGGCATGAAAGGTGATAGAAAAGTGATAAATATTTCCAGTGCTTGTATTCTCAGCATGTGAATGCATCTTGATGTGGAACTTAAATGCACAACTTTTTCAAAGAAAAGTCTCATTTTTGCAGTGAAATTTTGCTCTGATTAGTAAGAATGCCATCTCCTTAGTAGTATTTCCAAATTCTGTATTGTAGGATAACTTAGTACATTTGCATGTTAACAGGAGAAAAACCTGTCTCTTGCTAAAGAAATACCTTGCTAAAACTAAATTATTAACTAAATATGTTGTCCTAGCATTACTGCGCTATGCGAGAGCTTGATATGTCAATGGTTAGTGTTAGTCTTGTTTATAAAATAGTACACACAACTAGTAGGAAATTACATATTTTCTGTGGCTTGCTGGTTTGTGTCCCCTTAGCTCAGATTGGTGTTATGCAATAGCTACGAGCATCTCCTTGGGATTAAAATCTCCATATTGTTTTCTACTTAATATGAGTAAATGTAATAATACTAAATACTGCAGACTTCTTAAAGCATGGGATTAGTCTGTAATTTCATTTGTTTCTTTGATTCAGGGAATGTAGTAACTTATTAACCTAACACTATTTTTTATTATTTTGAATGTATTTAAGTTATGAAATAGACACTATGTTAGGAAAATAGATATGACAGGATCTTGATATTGCATAGCGTTAAAATCTTGGGTTTCAATACTGTATGTCAATGAAGTCATCCCCTATCATGTTTTTCCTTTGACATGTAGGAGTCCAGTTTTGTTAATCTGCTGTGATTGTAATGAAGCACTTCTACTTTAGATGCTGAAGACACAAGCTTGAGATAGATGCATGAGTATATGCTTAGGTAGCTCTCTTTCTTCCTATGTTAGAAACCCAGAACACGGAACACTTTAACAGTGAGGCAGAAGATCCTAGAAACTTATACTTTACATAAGTGCTGTCATATAATGTGTGTAAATATTTCCATATTCTTTTTGAGCTAGGACAATATGAATATCAATCTAGAAGAAATCATGAAAACTAAGACAAGGAAAAATATTTTGTATTTCAGGGCTCACCTCCTACATTTCAGATATCACAGATAGGTCCTTGTATCTTATATCTGATTTTGCCCAAACTTTCAGTTTCCTAGCATCTTTTCCTGGAATTTGGTATGATGGTGGTGTTCTGTTCAGATAATTCATTTTTCAGTCTATGCTGATGAGCGTTTGTCACTTACAAAGATGAACATTTAATCAGTAGCAGTAATGTGATAGGAGATTTCTAGATACTTATATGCAACAGGGATTGAATCTAACCCTTCTGTACTAGTGGAAAAGCTCATTTCGCTGGCATGCTTTACCGCCTTTGTATACCGGTAGTAACAACTATTTACTCAGTAGCCTCTAAGGAATATTTTAGTGGAATCATGTATGCCTTTAGTGAAATGTAGTTATATCCCTAAATAAATTCCTAACTGTTTTACAATGATTTAAATTCACCATATTAAAAACAGTGGTATTTAAGGAATAAAGTTAATCACAAAATTGCATTTTCTGTGGCACTGATGAAAGAAAATTAACAGTGCTAGGCTCTGTTTTGAAGACTGTGTTGAATTTTTTTTCTCACCGTGACAGTTCACTCTTGTTGAAGTAAAGATTATCTGAAAGAAGACTTAGATGACCTTGAGAACAGAGTATGAACTGAGAAACGGGTAGTGAGCATATAATAACTAGGAATGAAGCGAAATTAATCTTTCCTAATGCATCACTTGGTTTGCAAGTTACATCTGTAAACCACATCTGCCTATGCTTTTGAAAGCTTTAAATTTTGCAACATCTTGCAGTACGCTTCGCTGTAAGCATATTTAAGTTGATTATACTGTTTGTAAAATGCTAACTTAGTATTTCTGGAAGTCATAATAATTTTCATGGACTTCAGCATAAATTGTCTAAACCAAAATATGTTCCTTCAGAGAAAATAGCAATTGCCCACAGTTATTTGGGAAGCTGAGCATTTCAGTGTACTCTTGTTAAGCTTTCTCTCACAAAGGGAGCCAGCAGTCTTTAATGACTACAAATAGTCTGGGCCTTGGTTTCTGTCTAAACCAACAGATTTGAAATAATTCGACAGATAATCAGACATGGAATTCTCTTATCTCTTTTGATCACTTAAGATTATGAAATTTAGCAGTAGCTTTTAGATGAACAGATGGCAAGTCAAATGACTTGCCTACTGGGAAAGGGGCATATTTGCAGCCATTTGCTTTCATGCCTCACAGGCATTCAAATTAGAGCTGTTAGGTATATTCTGCATTATGCTAACTAAATTAATCATTAGTAACTCTTTCCAATTGTCAATATACTGAAGTACTGGCTGACAGTCCTATTTGACAGTGCAGCTCTGCTAGTCTCTTGAACTGACTACCCTTTTGCTTCTACCATCTCTGCGGTGAACACATTTTATCCTGTTGGGAGCATCTCCCATTGAAAATCTCTGCACTGAAGATGACTGTGCCTTATTTTATTGCTTTATTTAACATACACTGTTTTGTTACTATTCCAATATTGCTATAACCAGGATTTACATTGTTGTGATATGTCCTGATGTTTACTATTTTACTTTCTTCTGTGGGATGGTAAGGATATAAGAGCATTGCATCCTGCTGTGATCAGAGCAGTACAGATTTCCTAAAAAGTGTGAGGATTGTGATGGTGCAGATGTTGCAGTTTGCATTGTAAATAGTCTCAGGGCAGTCAAAGAACATATGTTGGGTAGAAGCTGCACCAGCTGTATAAATGATTAGGCTTAGTAAAATCGCTCAGAAGCTTGACGGCAAGCAGAAACTACATGTTGAACATCACTATAGAGGACTGGTAAGGTATTGTCTCACAGAAGCACAGCAAAAAAACAATAGCAAGGACTTATTTGGGGAAACAATAAAAAAGGTATGGCATCAATAATGACAGGCTGGAAAGAAGACAAACACTCAAAATACAGGGAATACCTGTACTAGGAGAAGGATTGCTTCTTACCAGTTGCTTGTCATCCAATACCATTTTAGAATCATGTGGAATAGCAAAATTTGGAAAGACCAGTGCTTGTAGGACAGCAGTCCCTAATCAGGTTCACTTCAGACCATATCCAATGTAGGAAATGGTTTCCAGGAAGAGGAGGGATTTTTTACTTGTTTGGTGGTGTGTGAAACCATTGGTATTTCTCATAGCACAAGAGATACCATCTTGGTATTATGTAGTGGCTATGAAGACAGACAATATTAGGTGTTGTTGATATAGATGATACCATTCCAAGTAATACACTTAAGCTTGTCCCCCTACTTTGCATTTCAATTTTTTATGGGGCACTTGTATATTTGTAGGTACATACACTTACATATTAACATTTATTTGGCATTGTTTTTTTCAGTTGTCTGAAAGTAAGGCTTACTTGATAGCTTTAGAAGTCGTTTTAACATTGAGTAGTAAATTCAGTGTATATATCTCAAACTCATGCCAACTCTACAGATTTGACAGAGATGAGTGCATAGAGTTTTTCTAGTTCTTGATGTTATGTTGGAGGGTAATACTCCATTGTATTACTCTCATTCAGAAATTTTACTTCAATCTAAAAAACATAGCAGCTTACTTTCATGAGTCTTTTGTTTTCTGATCTAGACCTGCTTTGATGACAGTAGAAGATGAAGGATATGAAATTTATGTTCATGTGGTGTCCGAGTTGATGGAAAAAATCTTCCTTAACATTCCTGCGGACTGGCTGAACAGATTAGTAGGTACTGTTTCATGAATTACTTGTGACAGAAACAGGCAGCAAAGTTTACAATGGAAGTAAAATTTATAGTTATTGACGATTTAGAATTGATATGATATTGTTCTGGAAATATGATGATTGCTCATATTGTATGAGACTTCCAAAAAAACCAACAACCTCAAAGAGAACACTTCAGTTGCTGTCCAACAAATGCAGAAGTTCAGAACTGAGGTAGCAATAAGAGGTTAGATGATATGAACATTTATTATACGCTATATAACTAAGTATTCAGTAACTAAATGGATGGCTTATGTGCAAAATAGAATATATTAGCAGTTTTTAGAAATATCTGATGGGCTTTCACGATTTAAAGAACTGAGTGGTGTTTCACACAGACTCCCCTTGATACATCCTGTTTGACTTCGAGAGGGGTTTTACATGATTCACAGGTGTTATAGATTAATAAGAAACAGTCTTAGCACATTGTTTTTAAAAAAGATTGAAAACAAAAACTAATTTTCTATTCAGATGTTGAGCTACTCTCCCAGTAATTCAGTGTCATTTTCATGGAGGTGGAACCTGAATGTTAGGTACTGTTATGAAAATAGAGTAAATTGGATTGTTCTGTCTTTTGCAGTGCCCTCTTCGGATATAACCTACAGCACAATAGTAGCAGATCTGTGTCATTTACTCCTAACAGATACGGAAGCATCCTATTTATTGGAAATTAGGAGCCATTTTGTGCTAGATGAAAACAGCTATCCTTTGCAAAAGGATTTCCATCTGCTAAATTTTTATCCTGATCTTTGAAGCATTGACATCTGCAATAATGGAGTAACAGAGACCAAAGGAACACACAGATGGCCAACAGAAGAAAAATGAATTAGCTCAAGGAAGTAAATATGTTTTTAAAACACAGAAAGGATTTTGGTTTTAACTTATACAACAAAACCCAAACAAACTGGTATGGAATACCTGCTAATAGTATATACTGCTGCTGTAATACTGATAAATTGTCATAAAGTATATTTTTGTACATGTATTTGTATCTTAATAAACTCTTACTGGGTATCTGTTTTCCTTTTCTCCCCAGAAAAGCTCACTATTATTGAGACTGATTTTTTTTTTCTCAGATATGGCAGCTTACAGGAAGACAGCCACATTTCAGTAATACTATTTTAGTTATAAGATTTTTGTTTGTCTTATCCTATACATTATCTGTGGTTATGTCTTTGCTTGCTTTGCTGTTGTGGTTGATTTCCTCCTTTTAACAGCAGAATAACCCTCAGCAATTTTTGCTGCCATTGTTTTCTCTTGTAAAACAGAACTGTCTCACTGAATCTAATTTTGTGTATCTAGAAGTTGTTGCACCAAGCAAAGAGGTTTTAAACATTTTAAACTGGTGCATTCCTTTATGGACCCTATAAATGATTTAATTATTGTAGTATTTATTGTAGTATTTATCCAGCATATGCTGGCAAATAAACTTAATTCCCTTAAACCAATTTAATCACTTTAACTCTGGTTTGCAAAATTTTCTCCCAACTTGATCAGATTTAGAAATTAATTTAAACCTTTTTAAAGTCTTACTGTATTCTGATAGTGATTTTTATCAGTAAGTGACTGAGTAAATGATGACTGCACCTGACTTCATGAAGTAATGATCTTGTAACTGTTACTCTACAAGAGCGATTAAATATATAGGTCAATATTTTTCTCCGATATAAATATCTTTCTCTGATATAAATTGTGCCTCTTACTGAGGCTGGTAGAAGCTGGAGGGTATGAATCATATTTGCTGTCTGGCTAGATTCTTGCAGATCTCTACCTGCACTGTTTTCATCTAGACAATCAGTTTCCACATATTCTCAGGCTTCAAACACAGAACTGTTCTCAAAACTGTATTTGATAAATCAAGTTGTCAAATGCATTATAATGCAAGTAATATGACTCTTGAACAGCTTTCATGTGCTGTTTCTTGGAAGTGACTACTTAAAATTCAATACCCATGTTTCTTGGTGCTAGTTTGGTCTCTGTATCTCACATGAAACCAGTTTGGGACTGTTGGGTTTTTAGTGATGTTGATTAGAACTATGTGTAAGCCATGTGTTTTCTTGTGTATCACCAATAAAGGGGAAGGTAATAATGTTTCTGATCAGTCTGGCAGCAAGAGAGAATCCAGAGGATTAATGGATGACTTCGAAGAAATGAATTCTCATCTGCAGTTTCACAAGGTCACTGATCTTATTTCTGTATTTAACTACTTGAGTACTGATCAATCTGGTCAGATTCTATTGATCAAACAAGTTTGTGCAGCTCTGCTTCTTATAGCAGACCTCGTCTTCTGGTTTAAGCCCTAGCGATCTTGTGATAATTCCCTGGTATTTTTAACCTTGAAACAGTCTCTGACAGTTTTGTGAGCAAGCATAGAAATGCTGATCTTTTGCCAGCAAAATCAATTTCCTGCTGTGCCAAGATACCTGAGACTAGTATAAGAAAGAAAGACAACAGAGTGACACCAAAAACTATGCTCAACACTAGCACTACTGGTGTGCAAATGGCAGGACAAAATCTCCAGAAGCAAGTAGGTAGTCCCTTACACAAAGGAAACACTGCAGAGTCTCTGTAGAGGAATGATCATTTCCTTGCCTAGGGCAAAGGAGGAACCAGTCACAGAAGAGACTAATTGTAATGTCCTCGTCTGATGATCAAGAATGAAAACTTACTTTAGCTACTATTAAAAAATTGTGCTAAAGATAATATGGAAAATCACAGCTTTGTAAAAGGAGAATTCAAGAGACTCAAGATTGAATTTCACCTGATGGTAAAAGTACTCTTTATCTAGTTTCCTGTGACCTGGCAAAAACAGGATGACGTTGTCCTGACCCATCTCCTTGGGGAAGTCCTAGGTATCTGTGCCATTTATATCTTATTCTAACTATGCTTTACTCAGTAGTGTCTGGTTCTAGAACGTGAATTTCTTAATGCTATGTTGAAGGGAAGAGGAATTTCAGTATTGGTTTTAAATGAAGTATTAGAACCCATGCTGATCCTGTATGAGTGAAAACATTCTAAGGAGCTACTTGATTAACTCTCTTGTTCAGGAAGAGTCAAAAAGGACCTTTCTCATTTACTTCACTTGGATCACCTTGAGCAAAGTCAAGGACATTGGTACTTGCATTTAAATATGTTTCTTCATGATTTTAGCTGGAATTACTTAACACACAAACTGGAAGTATTGGTACTTTATAAGAAGTGCAAAGAAAAGAGACCACATTAGTACAATGTGCTGTTTTATTACTTGGACTCTACTGTACATCAAGTCAGGTGACTTCCCACTTTAGAGGGTTTTACGTTAACAGACACTGTGCATCACAAGCATCTTCCTGCACAAGCTAGTAAATGTGTAAAACATTCTTAACAGTTTACTTTTAAGATCTTTAATGTTTATTGGTATGACTTAACCAAATACATTATGTCCCACTTTATGATTTAAATTGCTTTATAGTAGTAATATAGTTATCATAGAATTTGTTTATAGTTTTCCTTCCTGGATCAAACATGTTGCCCGTTAGATTTTTTTCAGTAGTTTTGAAGGAGTGAAATTTGAAAACAACTCTTTGGGGTTGGGGGTGCTGGCATTACTCATTTAACTGCAATATAATGAGGGTTGAACACTTCGTAAAATTCAGTTAAGATGAGCCTAAACTCATCCCATTTATATCCAGTGGTGTGGTTAGCAAGACGGACTGAGGGTACCATGTAACATTTCAAGTGGGAGATCAGGTGGAGTCTGTTATCTTACAATTCCTCTCAGATATATTCTCATTAATAATATTTCCTTTAGATAATAGCAATACTATCAAAATGGAAAGTGTTCACATCTCCCCAGAGAGATCTCATTTTTTTTCATATATTGAATTAATTAATATTGTATCCTGTTTGAAAGGAAGCTGGCTTTATTTCAGCTGCAGAGATCGGAACAGAATTGTACAAAATGTTTTGCTGCAATAGTCTGTGTCTGGTTTATGACTGTACAGTGTGAAAGGTACAGAGTTCACATCCCCAGTGAACACTCAAGAAGAGAAGAATGTCATATTTATTTTGATGAAAAATAATTGTTATGAATTATTTTACAGAACAGTAATTTATTTAACAAAGAAAATTCTACCACTAAAACAGAGTTAAGCTTAAGCCAATTGGTTTTTAAATGTAAGAATGGCCATACTAGGTCAAACCCAAGGTTCTTGTAATCAATGCTCTGTCTCCAGCAGATGTGTGTTTAGGGAGAAATATAAAGACAGGACAAGTCCTTTGTATTACTTTCTCAGAGTACTTCAGTACTACTGCAAGCCTCTAATCATTTGTGACTTCAGGACTTCTTTTATACTTCTGCCTTAGTGTAAACAGTGTTGTACGTTGGGGGCAGCTGAAAACATCTAACTGAATTACTGCAAGAAATACACTGCACTGAGGGACATGAACAGCTGCTTCTAGGTTTTTGATCAATAAGCATTCAGTGTTTTCCACTATTTATATTCAGAAGAGGATTTCGATATAATGCCACTATATTAAATAAATCGTAAATTTAGTAGTTAGTCAAGGTCTTTTGGGCTTTGTCTGTTTTGGCATGCTTCCATCCCTTCTGGTGAAGCTGCTCTATCTGTGGTGATGCAGTGCAATGGACAGTTAGGTCTGGTATCATCACTGACAATTCTTAAGTCATTTTGTGTTCTATCCACATGATGGATGATTGTTTGTGCCCAGAACTCATGACCCAGAATTGGAATTTACAAGCCAAATAACTAATACTGGAAGATCATGTTTGTCTTCCCATTTTTTTTTTAACTCTGCTGCATATTAATTAAATTGGAAATATATTTTGAAGAGAGGAAAGATAGAGTTCAAGCCTAGCAGGAACTAAGTTTTCTCTTTGTGTTTGGGCAAGGAAAGTATTTACTTATTTTGTTCTTGTCTACATAGGAGTAGACAGAAGTAGACAATGGTCAAAGACTGTATCCTTTAGATTATGAAAGATAGTGAGAGCTTTTCCATTTTAAGGCTGGTTGGGTGGTTTGGTTTTTTTTTCTGTGCTGTTTACATGCTATAGCAGAGAGCATGCCATCGTTTAACCAACTCCTTGGGCTTGCTGATCATTTCATTCCAATGTTCTAGTTCTTTGCCGCGGGCATACATGAAAGGCCCAACTACTACACGTCCTAGCAGATGTGTTTCTGGAGGAAAAAAAAAAGAAGTTAGTGATTAACACCTGTAAGTGCTTCTTTGAAATTCTTACCTGAATTAGAATATTAACTTGTATTTCTCTAAGTAATGCATGTTCTGAAAGTTATTTTTAAACCAAAATTTTCATCAAGGAATTCACTCTAGATTTCAAGTTCCTTGGTTTCTACATGCTAAGGTTCAGCATTAAAAGGTACTGCAGTAAGTGGGTATTTAGTTAATTCAGGCCTATCCTGTTGCCTGCACTCTGAACTAGAATCAGTTTAAGGCACACAGATCTGTATCTGCCCAGACCCTCTACCTCAAGCGAACTGTGGAAGTGTGCCCTACTTCTGGATATCAGCAACCTTTGTAGGATTCATATGGTGCTCTAGCTTGGGAAAGAATAGAATTGGTTCCTGAGACAGCTGGGAGTTGCAATATGAGGGTTGCTGCTGACCACCCTCTACCAATGAGCAGATTGTTTTTTCATGCCTCAGTTTTTCAGCTGTGGATGGGCAAAATAATTTGAACCTGCCTTATGTGAACTTCAGAATGTTTCTAAAGGGTTTGGCTGTCTACAAGTGGAA